AAATAGTACAGGTAATGATTTAGGCCACCAGCTATAACACAGATTGGTTCTTCTGAAGTTTGTAGCTTTCGGGGCTTGCGATACGACTTCAGAGCTACTAAGGCTTGAGTGGTCCCATAGATTCTGGGAGTTTTCTGGCGGGGGGTTCTGAAGCTTCAACCAAACCCGGAACCCAAAACTCAAAACACAAAGCCCGAACCCATTGGGGATTATAGGGTTTAAGGTTTATAGGGTTTAGGAATGATTATGGGGTTTAAGGTTTATCGGGTTTAGGGATTATAGGGTTTAGGATTTTTAGGGTGTAGGGATTATAGGGCTTAGTATCTAGGCGAACCCATCATCCGATCCCATGCTGGCCAAGAAGCCCAGCAAATCTTCTGCGCCACGGGCATGATCTAGCACCACGACCTCCCCAAGACCAGCTCCCCAAATCACGCCATGATAGGGATGGTCTTTTGGTGCTTATGAGATCGAGCCGACCGTATACCTTTAGGCAGAGCGGTTCGTTTCACGATGACTAGCAGCGCGACAAGTTCGAAGGAAGACCCGGGCCACACCCGACTTTCCCCCAAAGGCCCTCAATTGAACCCCACATCCTGAACTCTTGGTGTCGATCCTCAGTCACACCCTAGACCCTAAACACACCTTTCAGGGGAGCTAAGCTGCTTTGGGGCTCGGAGTTCTGCCGTGAAGCTCGAAGCAAGGTAGCTGCCCATAGAAACAACTCGGGGTCTCGCTACGCTTACGACAACCTACTCTCTTCTTTTGGTAAAAGCGTAAGTCATGCGGAGCTTGCAAGTATTACATGTAGCATATCACATATAGTACGTACATCATGTAGTGGCTTAGGCTTCCGTATAGCGGCCTAGAGACGAGGAAGGCCGATAGTTCGGAAGTTTGGGTGCGTGGATGTTCGGGCGTCCCGAACCTTCGAAACCTGCGATAACGATTGCTTCAACTCCGAAACCCATCCCAAACTCCGACCCTAAGGCCCTAAGAAGGCCCTAAAACCCTTAACCCTAAGCCATAAACCCCTAAACCCTACACCCTAAGGCCCTAAAAAGGCCTTAAAACCCTAAACCTCTAAGCCATAAACCCCTAAACCCTACACCCCAAGGGCCCTAAAGAGGCCCTAAGCCATAGCTCTGGCCTCGAAGCCGGAGGCAGCCACGAGCTCCGCAGCCGCTGCGGAGCCCAAGCGCACGAGGGCGCCTAAAGCCCGAGCCTGCGGCAGGGTTTAGGAGTTTAGGGTTTAAGGTTCAGGGTTTAGGGGTTTAGGGTTTAGGGCTTAAAGTTCAGGGTTTATAAACCCTAAACCCTAAACCCTAACTCCTAATAGGGTTTTGGGGGCTGGATGGCATGACACACGCA